AGGCCAAATTTTTCACTTAATATTTTTCCACATTTGTCCTTGAATCTGTCAACTTTATACAGTACTGTAAATTTAACTTACATCGAGTTTGATGTCAGTTCTTGTGAAAAGAGCTTTTTGCCTTTAACAGACATACAGTTAAAGAACACAGCAGAGTACAAAATTCACAGGACAGTTTTGGAACCAACAGAGAATGTCACTTTTTATTTACCATCTTATATATCAGTTTTACCAGCTACTTCTAAATTTGTACATTATGTATAAGGAAAAGAAGGAAAACCCTAAGACTTGTCTGACTTAGTGGAGAATGTGTGTGTTGGGCTTAGAATGGATAGCTAAGTCTTAGTCAGCTGTGTTACCTAACTTGTATATACAAATTGTAATTAAAAGTTCGGATTCACCTGTTTCTCACAGTTTAAAATGGTGAGTAATTGCAAACTCTGGAAATGTGATTAGTATATGATTTAAGGCTGTAGAAGTGAGGAAGCTCTTTCAAGTGCTAAAACTAAAGACTTCTAGTTTTTGGCTCAAATTCGATAAGTACTGTTTGTATACCAGGATATGTGAGATGTAAATGTAGTAGGTCACTTTTCACCCTTGTAGCTATAAAATAAAAATTTTGTAGAACAGAAAATAGCTTGTACTACTGAATTAACAAAAAGTTATACTAAAGTATCATGTTTAAAAAATATATATATATATACAGAGTTAAGCTTGTTGCTGTTACCCTGTCTGGATTCAAAAAGTGTGCTGATTTACATATATATATATATATGTTATATATACACACACACACATCTAAAATGGCCTGAAGCAGACATCCATGTAATTACAGTTGCAAAATGAAAACATTTTGGAAAAAAAACATTGTATCATAGTTCATTCATTTGCAGTGGATCTTTGTTCCTTTTTACTGTGGTAATTTTAGAAATGAGTGTCAAGTTTGAAATTTAGATCTGCTAAGTTGGGGTTTTGCTGCTTGAACTCTGCACTGGGTCCTCAAATAAACCGATGTGAATGTAGTTTTTCCCCCTGTGAGAAGAAGCAGTCACACCCCCAACAGAATAGGAGGAAAAATCTAGAACTATTTCAAGTTTTATCTTTTTGTATATGAAAATAAAATAATAATAAAAAACAACCTTGTTGTCTCTTAACCTTTTTTTTTTTTTTTTGGCAGAACTGGGGTTTGAACTCAGGGCCTGTGCTTGCTAGGCAGGTGTTCTACCACTTGAGCCATAATGCCAGCCCTTTTTTTGTGTTGGATGTTTTCAAGACAGGATCTCATGAACTGTTTGCCTGGGCTGGCTTCCTCCTGATCTCTGCTTCCTGAGTAGTTAGGATTACAGGCGTGAGCCACCCGCACCTAGCAGGGGATGGAGGTTCTTTTCATGAGACTTAGAAGTGAATGAATGGCATTCCCTCGCTTATAGGGCGCCTCAGTACACATGCAGTTGTTGACAGCCAGGGCTCATGGGGCTAGAGCTAACATAGTTCTCCATCTCTACCGTTTAGAAGTCCATAGTCTACTTAGGATACTAGATGGACTGTTCTGGGATTCTGGGTCTGTTCCTGCAGGGCAGGGGTGTGTATTTTCTATGTCTCAAGATCATGTCCCAGCTGTTCCTGTACTTTGCAGACTGTCCTGAGCAATCTTTGTATAAGTGGATCAGAAAACCCTGGAAAGCAAGTCGTATGGAAGACTTGCTCTGTTGTCCCAGATGCGGCTGAGCACTGGTGCCACTGGCTGAGCTGCTGAAAAAAACCTAAACAGATCTGCATCAGTAAAGCAAGCCTTAGGTTTTGGAGATCCTGACTTATCTCAGTAAGTTAAAACATGGTTCCTCAATAATAAAATAACCAAGAAAACCAAGAAATTAGAAAAGCCTCAGAAATCACCTTACTGCTTTCTGTGGAAAAAAGATTTTTGGCCTATGACTAATAATTAGCCTAAGTGAAGAAACACTGTCTTTGAATCTTCCTTCCAGTGGGGTGATGCATTTTAATTAAGCGTTTTATTACAAGGACTAAGCATCTGCTTGAAACTCCTGGAGAAATAACTTTTTTGCGTGTGTGTGTGGTACTGGTGTACCACAAAGCAAGCCCTTTGCCACTTGGTTCATGCCTCCAGCTTTTTTGCTTTAGGTTATTTTTTTAAATTTAAAAAAATTTATTTTATGATGGTACTGGAATTTGAGCTCAGAGTCTCACGCTTGCTATACAGGCACTCTTCCACTTGAGCCACTCCACCAGCCCCCCGTAGGTTATTTACTAGATAGAATGTTTCATTTTTGTGGAGGCTGGCCTGCATCATGATCTTGCTACCTACAGCCTCCCATGTAGCTGAGACCACAATTGTATGCCACACCTGGTGTATTTGCTGAGATGGGGGGGAGTCTCAACTTTTTGCCCAGGCTGGCCTCGAACTTCAGTCCTCCCTATCTCTGCCTCCTGTGTGGCTGGGATTACAGGCATGAGTCACTGGAGGAAACTTTTGGTCATGTGACACACCCCTTTTTGTGGTACTGGGTTTTGAACTCAGGGCCTTAGGCTTTCTAGGCAAGCCCTCTACCACTTGAGCCATGCCCCTCTCCTCCCCCTGGCACCAAGTGGCTCTTTTTTTTTTTTTTAGAGATCAATTGTACTGTCTGGCTCTTCCAGATTTAGAAAGTGTACCTTCTATGAGTGCCTCTAATGGGCACAGAAGGAAAGGAAGGCAAAAGGCTGACTTTTTTTTGTCTTTTAAAAGGATCTCGTTATGTAACCCAGGCTGACATTTTTGCTAGAGGATTCTTCTTGGGTCTCATTATGCAACCCAGGCTGTCATTTTTGACAGAGGATTGATTTTGGAACTGGAAAAGCTGAAAGGATTGGACCTTAGGGTTCAGCTGGCCAAGCTTCAGCAAATGAATTTGTCATAGAAGGTAGTTTATTATAAAGGCAGGTTGGAATGAGCTGGTAGAGGAAGGCTCGGAGGCCAACTTGCCTTCCCTTAAGTGAAAATCACCCCTATGGAATACTAGGGTTCCCTTGATTACAGTTGAAAAACTGGTCCAATCCATTTTACAGGTGAGCAAATGGGCCCAGAGGAGGTTCACTATTCAGAGGCAGGCAGTCTTTCCAATTCTTGGAAATGTGGTTCACTATTGTTCACAAGTACAGGATTTGGATGAAGAGAAGTCATCTGCCATTATCTTTAGGTTTAGCACAGTTGCCCGGCACTTAGAAAGGCCTTAAAAATACTTAAGTGACTATAATAAAATTCTGGTGGAAGCTGCCAAAGTAGCCTAGAAGTCTGCAGATACTTGTGTTGTATTTTAGGAATCAGTTGCAAGTGGCAGGAACTATTAGGCAAAAAGGGAACTCCAGTGGAAGGATTCTGAAGGAAATGGCTAGCTGAGCCTTAGGAAAGGAGTGGGGAGGGGTTCAGGAGCATTGGAAGCTGGGGTCACAGTATCACAGGCCTTCCCCTCCTATGTTTTAGGATTTCTTCCTTTGTTGCTCAGTTCAGACTAGCATCTGCTCATTTGTCTACTTAGCAGGATACATGTCCATAGGCAGAGCCAGAGTCTGATAAGTTACAGCGTTGCTACCTAAAGAGAGTTAACAGACCCAAAATCCCTAGAAAGGGCTGTGGTTGAACCAGCTAAACCAATCAGGGTCAGAGGGTTATATAGCATGAGTTCATAAGAGGTGCTCCTAGAGACGGTAGCCTCCTGTTTGAAGCTGTTAAAACATTGCATTTTTCAGTTGCTCCATATAAATGGCCCTGTGCTGAGTGAAAGTCATTGATAGATGGAACGGTATTGCTACCTGTTTTAAGAAATGGGAAACTCGGGCTGGCAGAGTGGCTTAAGGTAGAGCATCTGCCTAGCAAAGTGTGAGGCCCTGAATTCAAACCTCAGTACCACCCTCCCCCTTGTCCCCCCCAAAATAAACTAAGAAATGGGGAGATGGAAAGTTTTGCAAAGAAGTAAGTACATGTGGAAAGCTTGATATTGTGCTGCAAAATGAAGACCCATCCCATTTATTTTGTGAGTCACTGAAGCATGTATGTCCTTTGTCAGCAGACATTTACCAAGTACTTTTATATTCTATTAAAACAAACTAGAGTGCTCAGCAAAAATTGTTAACAATTACAGAGTACTTAACGACATGCTCCAGGTACCTGCCTAAATGCCTTTGTGTGTCATTTTCTTTAATCCTTACAAAACCCCTAGGGTCTGAGTATTATTACTATTCCCACTTAAAAGAGGAAACAGGCCTACAAAGGTGAAGCAACACGCCCAAGGTGGAGAGCAGATAGTTGAGTGGGGATTCAAATTCTGAATTGTGATCCAGGTTCTGGGCCACCATGGGGTACTGCCTTGCCAAGAAAGTCTATAGGACGTACAAAGCCTTTTTTTTTTTTTTAAAGAAGTTATGATTTGTATATATTATGTATTATGATTGTGCATATTGTGACTGTGAAACCAGCTGTCACGAAGACATTCCATGTAGCACAGGTTTTGGATTAGGACCTGACTTGGAAATTTGGCTTTGGGGACTTTAGGCAGACCATGAGCAAGTTTACTCGCTTACTAAATGAGATTAAAGGCATTTTCTTTTTAGCATTGTAGATGCACACCATTAAGCCCTCAAGACGTCACACTCCCACCCATCACCCAGCGCAGTGAGCCAGGGAAGGATGGGACCGCACCTGGTTCTCCAGGTCTGTCACCAGGGGGTCACGCGAGGGCCTCAGCTGCGAGCGTGTACCTGAGCTCCGGGTGTCGGGGAGGCTGGATGTGTAGCGACTCCCTCAGGTTGCGCATGCGTGCCTCGGCCCCTCGAGTGCAATTGGCTTTCAGGTTTCAGAGCATGCGTGCGCGTGCGCTGCGGCCAAAGCACGGGTGTGATGGCTGCCGAGAGTTTTGCTTCCCGCCTCAGAGGCTCCCGGAGGATTCTGAGTGGCTTCGTTGCCGGGGCTGTAGTGGGAGCCGCAGGAGCAGGGCTAACGGCCCTGCATTTCTTCCGGAGTCGAGGCGCTGGGGTCACGGCAGCGAGGGAGCCGGGTGGTAAGTTTGCGGTCCCGCCTTCCCTCCCCGGGCCGGCGCAGAGGCTCCTGCGGCGTGTTGGAGCCCCGTTCTCCACGCACAGCTTCCGCCATCCGGCCCCATCTCTCCCTCCCTCCCCTCCTCCCCTCCTCGGTCTTAGGGCAGACCTGCCCCGGCCCTCAGGTGTCCACCGCGGGCAGTCGGAGCCAGGCGCTTCCCTTGTCCACTGCATGCCCAGCACAGCACTGGTGCAGAATTGGCGTTCAGTGAGTGTGTAAAGGAAGAGGTGAGGGCAGAGTTTGAGCGGGTTAGTTAACGGCCCTCATTTTACTGTCGTTGCAAATCGACAGTAATACCTGCGTGCTAGCACTGCTGCAGAGAAAATAAATCCTCAGGTTATAGGATTGCCTCACCGTTGGTCAAAAAAAAAAAAAGAGCCCAAGCCTGTTTTTCTTCCGTTTTCCAGAACAGGCTAATTAACTTGCTCCTTTTAATACCCATCATTGAGTGAGAAAACGGTTCTGGTGTTTGAAATCTGGAGAAGGCATCAGGAGAGGATTACTTTGAACCTGATTCACCGTTAAGGAAGTGCTTTGGTTTCTGCTACTAGAAAGCAGTACGAGTTTCACAGTCTTGGCTGCAGGCACACCCCAGTGCTTCAGTAATAGAGCACGAAGAAGACTGTCAATGACAGTGAGTGATGGTCTTGAACTCACTGTCCTGTGTTCAGCCCCTCTCTGCCCCAAGCACCTGGATTACAGGCATGCCCTGCATGTCCCAGCCGAGTGATTAGTCTTGATAAACTAAAATTAGGGCTGTGCTTTTTGTCCACATACTCACTCTTAAACAGTAAGTAGGTAGGATCTGTTACCATTTCATCATTTCAGTGACTAATGGCTGATAATGACTTGAATGCTTCTTTTGTTAGACACAGTTTGTGGAATAGAGAGATTTGGAAGTTTCATGTGAAAGACCAATACGATTTGTTTATTGATTGATCGATCGACTGATTGATTTATAGTACTGGGGTTTGAACCCAGGGTCTCCAGCCACATGAACATGCTCTGTCACAGAGCTATAATCCTATATCCCTAGCCAGTCAGGTCCTTACTTAAAAGTTAATAACTGTAGCTGCAGTTTAGCATGATATAATTGATACAACCAATTACAGGCAAAACCAGTACTTTGCAAACATGTTTCTTTTATTTGACTTAGTAAATTAATTGGAAAAATGAGCTTTTCTGGTTGATTAGATTTTTTTCTTTTTCTCCCCTCCTCCCCTCCAGTGCTGGAGATAGACCCATTGATTAGACTTTTGACCACTTCTTTGTAAATGTTACCCATGCCCTTATGTACTTACAATCTTTTATCCTTACTAAATGTTACTAATTGTTGTCCTTGTTTCCCCCCCCCCCCCTTTCCTTTTTAGGATCTGCAGAAAAGGCTGTCTTGGAACAATTTGGATTTCCTTTAACTGGAACAGAGACTAGGTGTTACACTAATCATGCCTTGTCTTATGATCAAGCAAAGCGGGTGCCTAGATGGGTTCTTGAACATATATCCAAAAGCAAGATCATGGGTAGGTGGTTGGAAAAAAAATGGAAGTAAAGGTATTGATGAAAGATGTTTCCAAATTTAGAACAAAGAGGATTATTGATAATGTTCTCAACCTTTTTCATGTCACAGCACATGTAGGGAATGATACATAATGTATGATTTGCTGATTAAGTGGCCCATGCTTGACAGCCAGGGAGCCCCAAACCCTTCATAGCTGATGGGCAGAGAGGATCTGTATTGATACTTGAGTTGAGAAGCTCTGTCATAAATAGTGCTTCAATGAACATCATTCTTTACCTCAACAGATATTCTTTGGTATCTGGCATTGTGCCAAGCCTTGAGGAGGTGACCAGACTAGATGGTCACTATTGCTATGATACTTTTAGTTGGGGAAGCGGATTGACCTGTCAAATAATTATAACTGATAACTTTTCTGAAGGAAGTATTTACAAGTTAGGATAATATAATTAAGTAAAGAGTGTGATGAGGGCCGGGTACCAGTGGTTCACGCTTATAATCCTAGCGTGATCAGGATAATAGAGGTTTGAGGCCAGCCCAGGCAAGTAGTTCATGAGACCCTATCTCAAAAATACCCAACACAAAAAAGGACTGGCAGAATGGTTCAAGTAGTAGAGTGCCTGCATAGGAAGTGTGAGGCCCTAAATTCAAACCCCAGTACTGCCAAAAATAAGAGTGAGATGAGAGATGATAACAGAAGAACATGATTTGAATTTGGGAGGCTTCTCTGAGAAAGTGGACAGTAGGGTGTATGGACCCTAGACAGAGGTTGAGTGGGCTTTGAGATTAAGAGAAGAGTGTTCTTGGCAGGAAGAGTAGTATATGCTTGAAGGCCTCAATGTAGAGAAGAGTTTGTTCCTTTAGAGAATCAAAGGAAGGCCAGAGTGGCTGGAGCAGGGAGAGTATAATGTGAAATGAGACTGGAGAGGTATGCAGGTACATAAATTTGTTCATGGACTTCTGTCTTGGAAGCTTCCTTAATTAAGATTACCAGATCTAGTTTACATTATGAGAAACTCATTGGATTTAGTCTCAAGCTTAATGACTTTTTAAAAAATTAAAAACAAAATGTTCCCAAGATACAAGGAATTTCAGTTTTACTAATTTTATCCTATTATTTTAGATGCATATAAGAAAAGCAGTGTATTTTATATTATATATTGTATTAACTATATGACTATACACTGTACTATATTATATTATAAATCCCATGAGTTGTTAGTTCTGAGGTGATACAATAGAGCCAAGTAATATTATTTGAAAGTTTGAAGCAGTAAACCTGGGTTTTACTTTGGTGAAAAGGGTCTTCTGTATTCAGTATTGACAGAGTAAGTTATTCAGACTAACCCTCCTGCTGAAATGTTATTAGCAGTATATAAAAAGTTTTTAAAGATCACGTTAAAAATGAAGAGTTAACAAGTTAGTGGAAATTGCCAGGCCATATTTGGAGCAAAGCCAAAATCCAGAGAAGTAAGGGCAATCCTAGTAAATTTGCCTTTGATTCCACAGCCTTATAGGGTGAAAAGGATTGAAGGAAAGACTCAGGCTCACCCAAGGTTGGTTGCCTTGTAAGAGACCTCCCCACATTGACTTTGAACCCCAAAGTTTTTTAGGGAAGAGTGAGTCAGAATTAACTTGGGGGAGTACACTGAAGGTTGTCTTGGCACTAGCAGAGAGGCATCAAAATGGAAAATAAAAAGCTGTTCCTGAGAAGTAGAGGCCACAGATGACTACCATGTACAGACTTGTAGCCCAAATCCATACAGCCTGTTTAGATCAGGGAACCTTGCTTGGCTTAATGCAGCCTCTGCTGGTAGTACTGCTAGCTACCTGGTAGAAGTAAATTTACCTTTTTCTGAAGGAATGTATCTTCTTAGGACTTTGGAATCCCCATAAGTAGGATTTCAAGGGTAGTGAGCACCAGGCAAAATTAACTAGGCACACAAGGAAGCCATTCTAAAGTTAAGGACACTTAGTTTACTTAGGATAATTCTTTTGTATCACCAGGTTTCTTGATTTTAAAAAGTTAGGTGTTAGGTACTTTACTGTGAAGCTTGGACTCTAAGAACTAAATTTCCTTGTTATCATTCGCTGGTAAATGGATGGAATTGGAGAACATCATTCTGAGTGAGGTTAGCCTGGCTCAAAAAACCAAAAATTGTATGTTCTCCCTCATATGTGGACATTAGATCAAGGGCAAACACAACAAGGGGATTGGACTATGAGCACATGATAAAAGCGAGAGCACACAAGGGAGGGGTGAGGATAGGTAAGACACCTAAAAAACTAGCTAGCATTTGTTGCCCTTAATGCAGAGAAACTAAAGCAGATACCTTAAAGCAACTGAGGCCAATAGGAAAAGGGGAACAGGTACTAGAGAAAAGGTTAGATCAAAAAGAATTAACCTAGAAGGTAACACCCACGCACAGGAAATCAATGTGAGTCAATGCCCTGTATAGCTATCCTTATCTCAACCAGCAAAAACCCTTGTTCCTTCCTATTATTGCTCATACTCTCTCTACAACAAAATTAGAAATAAGGGCAAAATAGTTTCTGCTGGGTATTGAGGTGGGGGAGAGGGAGGGGGCGGAGTGGGTGGTAAGGGAGGGGGTGGGGGCAGGGGGGAGAAATGAACCAAGCCTTGTATGCACATATGAATAATAAAAGAAAAATGAAAAAAATAAAAAATAAAATAAAATGTATTAAACCAAAAAAAAAAAAAAAGAACTAAATTTTCTTGACTTAGTGGAAGGACATTGGAATCAGTAATTTTATTGATCTCCATTTTACACTTACTTGAGTAACAGTCTGAGTGTATTCCATATGCCGTCATAGTTTTTTGATTTAAAGATAGCTTCCTCATGACAGTGGAAAGTGTAGTACTCAGATATGCTAAAGTCCTCCTGGGCAAACCATTCTGGAGATACCAAGAAGATAAGCAAAAATTGAAATTTCATTTCTTCCAGAGTCCTCAGATATTTTGTTTTAGGACTTTCTGGATGGAGCTTGTATCTTAAATGTTTAATTTGACATTGCTTAAGAGGCAATAAGGAAGATCCAAGGACACCCTCTCATGCTGTGCCTGCCGCGAACACATTGGTTTGTGTCTATATTTATCCATTATTTCAGTACATATAAACTTGTTTAAATGTAATTGTGCAAAACACAATACATGGGGTCTTTTTTTAAAAATGAGTTTATTCAGTAGCCAAGCTTCTTATTTGATTGATCACTGTTTTTACTTAAATGCCATCCAGGGTAATCTTCCTTTAACTAGAAAGGCCAGAATCAAAATTCATAGTGAAGAGATAGTTTCACTATGAAAAGCATTCTTTCTTAGACCAGTTCTTTCGAAATCCAGATGAAGTATCTGAGCTATTCCAGAGCATACATGCTGTCCCTAATGTTAGCTACCACCTAGCACTTACCAGTTTGCCTAGCTGAGAGAATATGAGGTGTATTTGCCCACTGATAATTTACCTTTGTGTTTGTTTTTCTTCAGGTGATGCAGACAGAAAACATTGTAAATTCAAGCCTGATCCCAACATCCCTCCAACCTTCAGTGCCCTCAATGAGGACTATGTTGGAAGTGGCTGGTCACGAGGACACATGGCTCCAGCAGGAAATAACAAGTTTTCAAGTGTAGGCATATTTTTTGGGGGGGATGGTTATGTGAGATTGATGTTATATGTACCATGGGACTTAGAGATTAAAAATCAAGGAACCAAGTCTTAAACCTTTCTATTCTTTCTTATTCTTCCTGACTTCACACACACACACACACACACACACACACACACACACACACACACACCCTTTCTCTTTTGCTCTCTTATAAATCGAATGACAAAATATTTTTAAAATAGATTGAATGAGGAAAACTAAATGCTGTGTATGTAAAAGGAAGCTGAAAAGCCACTGGGAACTAAAACTACTCATCTTTTTTTCTTGTCTTTTTTTAATTTTTAAAAAATTTTTGTGGTGTTGGGGAATGAAAACTTTAGCTTCACATATGCTAGGCAAACACTTTACTGCTGAGCTACAGTAAACCCAACTCATTTATTTATTTTTTGTTGCAGACATGCAGAAATTTTGAAAGGATAATGCAGCAATTACATTTTGATATGTTTACTTTATATATCCATATATGTATGTATATACATATATATTTAAAACCATTGACCAAAAGGTAGCAGACATAACACTTTATTCCTAAATACAAAAGATGGTGAACTATGCTGCATTGCTCAGGGCATGTATCATGTACAAATGAGGATAAGAGTGCCATTATGCCAGGTAATGTTACAAATGTATTTTTGTATGCTTGTATAATTATCTACAATACAATTGATATTCACATTTCCCAAGTTGTCCCACTTAGGTTCCTTACAACTTTCTTTTTGGATACAGTATCCAATTATGAATCACCTGTCATTTTGTGTGGTCCTATCTCTTTAGTCACCTTTAATTTAGGTTAATTTTCTTGCCACAAAAGGCAAGAGGAGAGAGGGTCTTTTATTTGCTAGCAGAACTGTTGATGATCATTGTCATCACAGTAGTGCCTTTGTTGGGTACTCATTCTAATCACCTGGGGATGTTTTCAGAAGCCCTTATGCCCAGATTTACTAAATCAGAAACTTTGGAGATGGAACCTAGGCATCAATATTATTTAAGCCCTGTAGGTTATTCCAGTGTGCATCCAAGATTGAGAACCATTGCTTGAAGAGATGGTAATGGTGGCATTGGCTGTTAATAGATCAACAAAAAGACACACAACGTATATATGGGTCAGACGTGTGAAGTGAGTGGCCAGAAACTCCGAGAATAGGAATTTTTCTCTGCCACTTTTGAACTGTTTGTACTGTACCTCTTGGATAAAATTCCTGAAAGTTTACCTTTGTTGGCAAATTTCCAGAAAGCTTAAAACCAGTATGTCAGAAACTTTTAGTCTTTGGAGTTTACACTATTTTAGATTTTATGATTAGATTTTATAAGTGTTAGGTTAATCACACCAAACTGCTTACTTTGTTATAGTCATTTTTTTGAATAATCATTATAGAGCTTTCTGTACTGGAATACCGATGGTTTTATTTATTCAAGTGTTATAGTCACTCATGGCTGATTTTCTCCATCTGTTTTTAAAATACCTTAAAGGGGAAGGCATTTCAGTGTAAGTTACTATTGTTATTTATTTATTTTTCCACAGAAAGCCATGGCTGAAACCTTCTACCTTTCTAATATTGTGCCTCAGAATTTTGATAATAATTCTGGATATTGGAATAGGTAAGGTGTGAGGGTTTTTTAAATACACTGTTGGAAGATAAATGATGTACTAGTGTGTGGCAGCTGTCTCTGTTTCTCAGAAGCTATCATAGGTACTTTGGGCCATTTTCTTTGCTTTATTTTGGGAGTATGGTCTTCTGTGAGAGAATAGACTTCAAATTACAGTCTGCCTTTTTGATATGTTTGCCACTGTTCAGAAGAAGAAAGAAACTATTGAAAATAATACTCCCTTTAATAACTGATGCAGTAACATCTTTTTTTTAGTGTGACTTTTTTTTTTCTTGTATTCTCATGTTCCTGTGTTGTGTTGTTTTGTTTGTTTGGAGACTGTCTTGCTATGTAGCACAGCCTGGCCTTGAACTTGATCCTCCTGCCCCATCCTCTTGAGTAATGGGATTATAGGTATGCAGAAGCACACCAGGTTTCTTCCTGAGCTTTTGAAGAAAAAGTTTTGGTACAGTTCAACATAACTATTAACCAGTTTTTGATAGAACCCACGTATAAAATCTTCTGTGTCTTCTGCCCTTTTCAGATGCTGTCAACAAAATTCTGTCAGGTGGTCTCATCAAGCATCTAAGACTAGCACTGATAAAATCAGGTTGTTTTAGGCTATTGTGTCTTCTTCATATAATACTTTATGGTTTATAATAATTAGGAGAGGGCTAGGGTTTTGTATTCCAGTCAGAGAGCACTTGCCTAGTGTGCTGGAGACTTTGAGTTCCATTCCCAGCACTACAAAAAAAAGAAAAAGAAAAATTAAGAGAACATCGCATACTTAAAAGACTTCAGCAGTTACCAGTCATGTTTACATTTGTTTCATCTACATGCCTTCACTTTCACCCAGAGATCGCAGATATTATTATCAATTTTTTTTAGAAAAAAAAGATTCTCTTAAAATTTAACCCATAGTACTACTATTATCACCTCCCCCAAATTTAGTGGTAATTTCTTACACTAAATTCCGGTTGGCTTTGTTTTTTGGGGTTTTTTTTCTATCCTTTTGATTGGTTGGTTTGAGTCAGGATTCAGACAAGATCTGCACTTAGATTTGGTTAATACATCTCTTTAGTTTCTTTTAATCTATAGGATTTTCTGCTTTTTTTACTTGCAAATTATTTGTTGATGATGTGGGGTGTTTGTCCTGTAGAGTTTGCTGACTGTACACCTATTAAAGCATTTAACATTTTCTTTTCCCAAGAGATAAATTTATGAAAGTAAAACTTTGCCTTGTAATTGAGAATGTAATGCTATATAATTTGATTTTATATTTTAGATAGGAATTTGAGTAATTATGACAAGTATTATTTATCATGTAGAGGTCTCTTCCAAGTGCCATTTTGTCTTCTAAATTTGAAAAAAATGTTCTTTTTTTTATTTGCCTTCCCTAAATACTCCAGAATACCTAACAATTTGTGCCTAGCTATGTGAGTACCCCCAAAAGGGATCTCTGTTTTTGAAAAAGTTAAGAGTTGAAAAGATACTTATTCCTAAATATTGAGATATCAACAGGAATAGCAGTTTTTAATGACAATTCATGTCATAAAGGTTATTGTGAAATTTCCGTTCTGTATTTTGAAGCTTAGACAATATTAAAAATATTCAGTATAAGTTTTACATATAAGCAGTAGTCAATAAAATATTTACTCAGTAATTCTAGCCATTGCAGAATGAATATAATATTGCATTTTATAAGAAATGCTAAGATGAATCCAGTGGTTAAATAAGTTATATCAGCTTGTTGGAATGACACATGATTCTTGAAAAATATTGTTTGAAGCTGGGTGTGGTGATGTAAGCCTATAATCCCAGCTACACAGGAGGTAGAGGCCGAAGGACACAGTTTGCGGCCAGCCTGGGCAGAGTTAGCATGAAACACTATCTGAAAAGCAATAGGACTGGAAGCATGTTTCAAGTGGTAGAGTGCTTGCCTTACAAGGGCGAAGTTCTGAGTTCAGTCCCCAGTACTGCTAAAGAAAAAAAAATTGGAGAATATTGTATAGTACTAGACTATTGTATAGTACTGTATAGACTGTTGTATAGATTATTTTTTGTGGTGCTGAAATTGAACCCAGGGCCTTGTGTAGGCTGGGCAGGTACTCTACCACTGAGCTATTTCCTTCCTTCCTTCCCTTCCTTCCTTCCTTCCTTCCTCCCTTCCTCCCTCCTTCCCTCCTTCCCTCTCTTTCTCTCTCTTTGTTTTCTTTCTCTCTCTCTCATTTTTGACAAGGTCTTACTATGTAGCCCAGGCTAGCTTCAAACTCCTGATTCTTTTGCCTCAGCCTCTCTTCCAGTTGTTGATTGTGTGTGATTTTTATTTATTTTTTGCCAAAAACTTTGGGAAGATCATTTCTTACATGCTTATAGTGTTTTTATGCCATGTACTCATTTAAGTTAATTTCTTAACTGCAAAAATATTCTTGATGTCTTTCCTATACATGCATCTATGAAAATACACATCTTTTTGGTTTGCTTTTCAGAATAGAAATGTATTGCCGTGAGCTGACAGAAAGATTTGAAGATGTTTGGGTAGTATCTGGACCTTTGACCTTACCTCAGACTAGAAGTGATGGAAAGAAAACAGTTAGTTACCAGGTAGGGACTTGTGACATTTAGACTTACCATTATTTGTTTGAAATTATAATCTCATTCTGTGTTCTGCTTTTGAATTTCATTTATTCAGCAGTATTTACTGAACCTCTATTAGAGTTTTAGGAATAGAGGATATAGTGATGAATAAAAAGCAGCCATTGACTTCAAGGAGTTCACAGTTTAGGAAGGAAGAGAAACATCGACAGTAAACTGCAGTAAAGTGTAATCTGCTATAGTAGAGATTAGCACGTACATGAAATGCTGTGACAGAAAGACTGGCAAGCTACTTGTGGGTCTGGAACACTTAGCAGAAGAAGAGATATTTAAGCTGGATCTTGACAGATGAGTAGGAGGAGAGCATAGGAACTTCAGAAGATGGAACAATAGAAGCATAGGACATTTGTGATCAACATTTTGGTTCTTGGATTTATGTTCATAGACAGTGAAGATTATAGTACGAAAAAGTATAGATAGCCCAATGGGGAGATGGATTTCTACAAAGCGGATGGGCCAGGTAATAGGTGACTTGTATTCTGTGATGAAAACTTGAGTTTTAGTATGTAGGCAGTGTGATGCTCTATTTGTTTTAATCTTGGAACATGTGAATTGTTGTGAGTTTTACAGGGAATATTCTGGTGGCACTGTGGAGCGGTAGATGAGAAAGGATTGATGGAGAGGTTAGAGGCAAGGAATCCATACAAGAACAGATGAGGGGCTGAATTCAGGCAGTTGTAGTGAGGAAGAGTAGAGGAATAGAGAAAAGAGTAACCATAATAGCTTTTTTGGGTGAGGAGGAAGGAAAATTCCAAATTAACAACCAGATTGCAGTGAGTTGAATAAATGAGAAGAAAAGCTTTTCTTTTAGAAATTAGAGTTTTTGTATTAGTTTTTTTTTTTTTCTTTCTTTCTTCTTTGTTGAGATAGAATCTTGCTATGTATCCCAGGCTGGCCTTAAACTCAAGATTCTCCTATCTCAGTTTCCTGAGTGTGCTGGGATTATAGGTGTGTATCACTATGCCTGGCTAGAAGTTTGGATTTTTTTTTACAGATGAAATCTTTTTTTTTTTTTTTTTTAATGTGGAAGAATGCCTTTATACACTGAAGCAAAGAGAGATTAAAGGTATGAGATGGTATAATTAATGGTGTTAGAGTTTCCATTGTTGCTGGGGGATTCTTGGGCAGTTTATAGGGTGGCATCTGAAGGGTCAAGTGTTTTACCAAAAAAGTGTGACACTGACTCTCATCATGGAGAACTGTCCTGAGGTTTCTGCCAAGAGGGTAGCTGAAGTGATGCATATACTGTAAGGTCCACAAGGTAGGTAATGAGGTGGACTGAGGAAGTAGACATTCTAGAGTAAGTAAAAGCAAGAGTAATGGACTTGCTAGTGGGAGAAGAGGGGTACTTGGGAACACCTAGCTCAGTAAAATAGATAAGTAATAAATGCTGATTAGGTTAAATGATTGAGAAAGTCTTAAGAAACAAACCAACAGATACAGGAAGACAAACACTGGAGCGTACTCTGCACTTGACTTGCTTGTGATCTGCCTGCCTGACCCTAATGTGCAGTGATGTGCAAGCATCCAACATGCACATGCCCTTGAGATGACCCACTTCCTTCTCACATGAAATTACTGATTCACCTACTGTATTTTTTGGGCGGAAATGGTAAAAAAAAAAAGTTGTGTTAAGGACTGTCATGCCCTCAGAATTCCAGTAATTCTTGGGGATGAAGGAGAGCAAAGGAATTAGTATTTTAAAATAAGTTCTCTCCTCTCCTACTAATTTCTTTCCTCTGATCAACTCTGATTTTAGTATTTTTTTTATAATGGTAGGACAAAAAAAGACTTAAAGCTCTCTGTAGTCTCTTAATTCCCACATATTAATTATTCTTGGGCTTTGTTAAGTCTTCTTACTTTTATCACTAGAAGAGGTTCTTTTAGCTTTGACTCCCAAATCTGAAATCAAGTTACAGTTTATGTGTTTTTTTTTTTCAAAAAATTGAAATTTTCCTCTTTAGTAGAAGAAAAATTTACAGAGTATAAAAGGAAAAATTAATCAATTGTGCTACACATTGTACACAGTGCTTTGTGTGGATGTTTGTTTCGGTTACCTATGTGTTACTCATGCTGTAGTAGGAAATGTGTTGTTATGTTGGATATAATTTTGGAAAATACAACTTACAAAAAGCAGTGATATACTGTTTGCCAAGAGTGTATCTTGAGAGCAGATTGTAGTTTCTAAAAATCATCTCCTGCTGAAGGACCCAGCATTTAGAGAAATGACTGATTCCAGGGCTGGTACAGGGAAGACACAAAATGGAACATTCTGTGCCAAAAAGTAAGGAAGTACTCAGACAAATGGTGGGTCCTTCAGAAGGACATAGAAATCAGCTTAAGGGAGCTGACTATTTGAATATCAAAATAAAATGGATTATAAACCTATTGAGTTGAGTAACAATCTATGCTCTTAGTAAGTAAATATATGGCGTATAAAGAAAAATTTCTGCTTCCTTTAGTGCTAATAAATATGCAAGAATGAAAGAGCTGTAAAAATCACTGCAGCTTTCACAGTGACAAGTGATTTAGGCAGAAATCATCAGTGGATGCTAAAACTAGTGGATGGAAGTTTTCAAGTATCACCCCTCCGTTATTAATCACATAGGTGTGAGGTAGTAACTTTTATCTTCTTAACCAAATGATCGAAGTTAATATTGCTAATAATGGGACTTACCCATAGGCTGTCTGTCCTTCCTGGTGTGATGCAGTGAGAAGGATAAAATGCCACTTCTGTGATATTTCTGCCAAAAAAGCATAGTACTGAATCCCATCATGTTGAGCTATCAGGCAAACCCCAGTCAAGGGACATTCTATAAAACACGTCGTATGCTTCACGAAAGGGATAGTGTCATAAAAAAACAAAGGCCGAGAAACTAATTGTTCCCAATTAATGGAGACTAAAGAGTCACAAAAACAAAATATGTGGACATATAAAACTGTTTGTAGACTTGGTTCTCTTAAATAGTTTTATCATGAATGACATTCGAGCACATGAGTAACCATGAAGAGTTTCAGAAAAGACCTATCATTTTTCACCATCCTGTTTAGTGTGTAAAGTGATTAAAGGTGAGGTCAGTCAGAAGCATACTTTGAGTAATAGTCTTGTTTTTTGTTTTAGATCTTTGTTTTCTTTCAGATTCTGGTCCTTGAATCCATCTCTATTAACTTGTAGGACCTTTTTTAAAAACAGAAACGTTTGATTTCTTTCCTTTCTTTTTTCTTTTTTTTGAGTCAGGTTCTTGCTATTATGTAGCTTAAGCTGTCCTCAAACTCGTGTAGCCCAGGCTAATGTCAAACTTTTGATCCTTCTACTTTAGCCTCTGGAGTGTTGGGGTTACAAGTATGTGCCACCACAGGCAACTAAACTTGTAATGTCTAAGGTGTTTTTTTTTTTTTTCTTTTTTTCTTTTTTTCTTCCTTGTCCACAGAACCTCAGAAATCAGATGCCTTTCTATTAATTTTAAAGTACAACTTTTGTGGTCTTCTAAAATTAGACACCTACATTGAATATTGGTTAAGTCTTGATATTTTTTTCCATTATAATTGCCAAATTATTTCTATTTGGACTGGAGTTTGAACTCAGAGCTTTGTGATTGCAAACCAGGCACTCTACTGCTTGAACCAAACCTCCAGTCCATTTTGCTCTGGTTACTTTGGTCTTACGGGTTAGTATAGAGCTCATGAACTATCTCCCTAGGCTGGGTTTGAACTGTGATTCTCCCAATCTCAGCCTACCACGTAGCAAAGATTACAGGTGTAAGCCACAGGCACCTAGCTCCAGACTTTTTCAATGAACCTTAAATTTAAGCTTTAAAATTTTATTTTTATGGAACTATATGTGTATAATAGTAAAAATGGTAAATCTTAACATATGAATGTAAAAGTGTATGACGTAATGGAATCCAAACAGTACAGAAAATATAAGATGAAAAGGTAGTCTCTTTCTTGGGATGTCACTCCACTGTCCAGTTTTCTGGTTCTTCTGGTGGTTATTTATATGTCTTGCAATCATGACGGCTAAAGTACAGTTTTAAACTTCACCAAGACCTCCTGTGCAATGTCCAGCCCATAGAAATATTTTATTTAGCTTACACAGTGCGCTGTTTGTGAATTATTTGATGATGTTTAATAATTGGGAGGTCTTATATAAATCCAGATTTTATGTTTTCTTTAAAATCAGATGGATCAATCATAGTGGGATATATTCCCGTATACACTAGTTCACTACATGAGCATATCAGCTAGTGTTCTTTAATTCATCTTAGTGCTTCACTTACCCATTTCATTCATTTACATTACTGACTAGCCTTTGTTGCTCCTTGAGTTTGTAATCCTAAATCTATTGAAAATAAAAAACCTCAGCGTTTATGGTGTTACAAATATGTAAGTAGTATGTTTGGATCTGTAATGAAGTAGATACAATTCTGAAACATTAAGTCTGTGCTACTTGGGAGATAAGTCTTATAACATGCAGCAGAAAAACTGAAGTGGAAGGTAAAGGTGGCAGTGTATTATAAAAATATAATATGCTTTTACTTTCTAATTCAGAAGATTCAGATCATTTTACCCTATACTTTTTTTCAAAGGTAAGTGAGTTGCCTTTTGAAGACATCATTCTTGAAGCCTTCTGACTTTCTGTTTTGTTCTTCCCTCCCTTTTTTTATTCAAGAAGACTGATTGATTAAAACAGCATCTCACTTTGTTGCCCAGGTTGGTCTCAAACTCCTGGGTTTAAGTAATCCTACCTTAGCCTTCCTAGTAGCTGGGACTATAGGTATATACCACTACTCAACGATTCAGTAAATTTTTATTAAGTTTCTACTGTGTACCTGGTGCTGCAGTGGGTGCCTCATCAGCAATAAAGAAGGCAGGCAAAGTATGCCTGCAGAGAGCTCCTGTTGTTTACAGTGGAGGAGATACACAGCAAACAAAATCTTAATAAAAAA